GGGATCAACAAGAAATAAAGAATACATTGTCTGAAATAAAAACTATTATACAGAGTCCTAAAAACAGAATAGAAGATCGCAAGAATCAAGTCAAAGATTTGGAACATAAAGAGCCAGAAGATACTCCTCCGCAGAAGCTAGAAGGCAAGAGAATCCAGAAAATTGAGAATCAAGTCAAAGATTTGGAACATAAAGAGCCAGAAGATACTCCTCTGCAGTCGCTAGAAGGCAAGAGAATCCAGAAAATTGAAGCTGATGTAAGAAACCTCTGGGACAACTTCAAACGATCCAACATCAGAATTATGGGGGTCCCAGAAGATGAGAGAGAGCAAGATATTGAAAACATATTGAAAGAAATAGTGACAGAAAACTTCCCCCACCTGGGGAAAGAATTGGATTTACAAGTCCAGGAAGCACACAGAACTCCAAATAAAAGGAATCCAAAGAGGACCACACCAAGACAAATCATAATTAAGATTCCAAGAGCAAAAGACAAAGAGAGAATATTAAAAGCAGCAAGAGCTAGGCAGATAGTTACCTATAAAGGAGCACCTATACGATTGTCAGCTGACTTCTCAACAGAAACCATGCAGGCCAGACGGGAATGGCAAGAAATATTCAAGGTGATGAATAGTAAGAACCTACAGCCAAAGATAATCTATCCAGCAAAGCTATCACTCAGATTCGAAGGTCAGATAAAGAGCTTCACTAATAAAAAAAAGCTAAAGGAATTCATCACCACCAAACCAGAATTATATGAATTGCTGAAGGGGGTTCTTTCAGAAGAGAAAGTAAATAAAGATAAAAATTATGAACAACAAATATGTAACTATCAACAAGTGAATCTAAAAACCAAGGAAATTAAAAAAAAAATCTGAGGAACAATATTAACTGTTGAATATAATGGAATCAGAGGTATGGAAGGGGAGTGAACTGATGATTCTTGGGGAAAAGGGGAGAGGGGGATGTGGGAAGAGACTGAACATAAACTGGCACCTATGGATGAGGACAATGGGGGGTGGGGAAAGGGCAGAGGGTGGGGTGGGAAGGGGGGGGGAAGGGACATTTGTATTAATATGAACAATAAAAATTAAGGAAAAAATAAAAAATAAAAAAATAAAATGTTACAGAGGACCATAACATACCACAGTCCCCAGAACATTGAAACTATCACATCTCCAAAGAAGCCTTTGCGGTCCACCACGGCTTTGAAGGGGGCTGTTACAATCCTATCAGTGTAGCAATCTGCAAGTTAAAAAGTCCCCAAATATGTATTTACAAGACAGCCAGGTATGTTTTGGTCTATTTGGGTCAACGATCCAAGCACTAAAATTCCCTAACTATATATTCACAAGATAGCCAGATCAGCTTTGGTTCACTGAGCCAATAGTAAGCAGGCCTTTAAAAATGACCTATAATACATAATTGCATAGTTTGCATTTTAGCAAGTTCAGAAACACAGTTCCTTACACTTTCAGTCTCTTAAAGAGTGGATTTACTACGCTAGTTTCTGTGGATGTCAGAAGCTGTGTTTCACTCTTTGGCCTGTGATATTTAACTTTTAAAAAGTCGGAAGAAGGAAAACCACCATAGCATAAAGTATGTTGAAGTTATGAGGCAAGTAGTGGAAACACTGATGTCCTTCGCACCATCTTAGTGCTTCCTCCATCCCCATCCAGATGCAGTCCGCCTCACCTTAACACCCGAGTGCTGTGCTGTGGCCTTGGCTTGCTCTGTTAATTTCATTCCAGTAGCTAGAGGGATCTGGCTGGGCACAGGGGTGGGGAACCTTTTTTTCTGCCAAGGGCAATCATTTAGATGCTTATAACATCATTCAAGGGCCATACAAATTTACCAGCCTAAAAATTATCCTGCTCTCTTTGGTCCAACATTTAATTAACTCACGCCTAATGCCTTGGCAGGGCCAGACCAAATGGTTCCGTGGGCCTTCTATGGCCCATGGGCCAGACGTTCCCCATCCCGGGGCTAGGGCTTCACAACATGGCCCTGATCTTTCTTCTCCAGCACATTTACATCTTGTAGTAAATCCACAGGCTCCTCAAGATAGGCCCCTACTTACTCTAACTCCCCTTCCTACCAAGCACACTCCTGCTTCCTGTCCTTTTACTGCCCTCTATCTGGAAAGCCCCTCTTCAGATATCCCCATGGCTAGCTCTCCTGCGTTTAGGACTCGTAGGAGAGAGGCCTTCCTGGACCTCCTGAATAAGATAGCAACACCCTATCTTAGCACCACGCATTTCTTTCTCAGGTACCCATGCTGGCTGTTCTCTGTTAGCACTGAGCACCACCTAACATACTACGTTGTCACTTATTTGATTATTGTCTATCTCTCTCTCCCCTGATGGTTAAGCTCCACTAGGGCAGGGGCTTCATCAATCCTAAACTTCAATTGGAACCTGGCATCTTTATGTGCTCAATAATTACTTATGGTGCCAATGAATGAGAGCAGATGGAAAGGGGTCTTCTCTCCACTTCCCAACTGCCTGGTGGAGAGAATTCACATCTAGGTTGAGGAGGAATGGGTATCTCTTTCTGAGATGAAGCCCTTTATTTGGCTGTCAGACCTCAGTTCCCTGTAATGTACTTTAAGTGGCCCAAAGCGAGTTCTCCTGAAGGTGATGGATCATCCAGCATAGCCCTGGCGCTGCTGGGTTGGGATAGACTTCCTGGAGGAGCCGGGGTCATCTCTGCTGGTCTGTATGTAATGTAATATTCAATGATATGCTAATTAATTTTAAATTAATTAGTTTTTTTTCCTTTTTTTTTAACTGTACATAAAGACAGATTAGCCTTTCTAAATCTCCCCTTTAATGTGGTGGCCATAGTCAGCTCTGGCGACAGCGGTGGACTGACTAGATTCCACAGACTCATCCGATGAAGCCATGAGGGATGGTGTGTGCACCTCTGTAACAGGCTGGGAAGCACTAGGTCGAACCATTATCCTCCCCAACTTGTTAATTATCTCCATGTCTGCATCCCCACCATGAACCAGGCATAATCTTCTCAACTGCATCCCTTCTCATGACTGAAGCCTGTCACAATACTTCTTTCTTATTTAAATTTCACAGGAACATTCTTTATTTCAATCACTCAGAAAGGTGCCTTTGGCAAAGGAATCGCAGCTGACAGCAAATTAATGACTGAAATGCTGTGATTAGTTGAGATTACAGGCTACAGAGGACTTGTCTGAGCATTTACCACTGTCATCACACTGATGCTACATCTATTAACGATTCACGTCCCTCAGAAAAGAGGATGTGCCCTGGCCGGTGGCTCAGTTGGTTGGAGCTTCGTATAGTACCCTAAAAGTTCGAGTGTTTGATCCCCAGGTCAGAGAGAATATGGAGGCAACCGATGTTTCTCACTCACATCTAAGGTCTCTCTCTCTCTCTCTCTCTCTCTCTCTCTCTCTCTCTCTCTCTCACTCACTCTTATTCTTCTCTTTTTAAGATCAATAAACATATCCTCTGATGAGGATAAACAAGAACAATGAGGAGGCTACTTACAGTAGCCCTATAGCAATGAAAGGAAATCTGTATGTAATGTAATATTCAATGATATGCTAATTAATTGAAAGTATTTATTTATTTATTTAAATATTTTTTTTTTACTGTTAACCTGTTGGCCTAAGCAAGTCTCTCTCCCAAACCCTCCTCCAGCTCGTAAATTTATTTTAATAAAACTTTAAGGCACAAGCTAAATAAAAAGTTGAAGGCAATTTCAGTCTCCAAAATCAAAGTATTAAGTAACTGAAAGAAAAACATTGTTTTATCTTAAATTATTGGGATAAGTGATTCAATTTTGTAATTAATTTTGCATGAATAGACAAAACTTAATGGATATTTCAGTGCATACCAGGGCTTGAGTGGATTCATAAAATAAAACTTTTCAATCAACTTAAAGGAGAGGATGGGGATAAAATTAATGTGAACAATAACAACAACAAAAACTGTCTACTCAGATACGAGGCATCACTGCACACACGTCTAGATGCTGGCCGAAAAGCAATACTGATTTCTGTAATCCCCCGAAATGACTTTTGCAGGGGGAAGATTTCAAATAAACGTCTATTTGCTTTAGGTGAGCTTCGCTGAATCGACTTTATTTGATTTCACATCCTCCTAAGGGAAGAGATTTTAGGATTTCCTGGTTGTAAAATGGAAAAGAACATTTTGCTGAACTTGTATGACATCATCTACTGCATTAAAAGGGCAGGTAATCATGGGCTCTCTGCCTGTTTACCAAACCTTCTTTACCTCCTCAATCTATTTTATTTCCAAATGTCAGAGGAGGCTGAAACCTTTCCAAGATTTACAGACTGCGGGAACAGAGGCAATATTAGGATAAATCCTTTAACTTTTGTGAAAGCTCTTAAATAATTAACAGATGGGCTTTTGGAATTGTTACATATCACAGTACAGACACTCTGAGGTACACCCTGTGAAGGCTAAACACCATCAATATCAAAGGGTCTGAAGGCATCTCTCTTTCTAGAAAGTTGGTGGAACTGTTCTTTGGAGTACAAATTTGGGTCACAAATAAAGTGAATATTAAATTTGCCAAGGAGAATTAATATAATAAAACTTAGTTAATCAATTAAAATTAAAATACAATACAGTGAGTAAAAATAGCAAGTACCATCTTGGTTTTTAATACAATTTCTTTTCCAAACAGTACTTGGAAATTCTCTTCTATTATGGAAAGGAGAAAAAAAATGTGGCTGCCATAATACTATTTATCAAGAGCAACAAGAAATGCGAGCAAATTATCTTTAAGCTTACATTATAAAAATGTTTCCGCATACACTTATAATACTAGAGTCAAATAGCTAATATTAAAAATATTTATAAGACCTTATCATAGGTATGTACTAGACATAACATTTCACACAGCAATAAATTAATTTTTTTCTTTTTTATGCAAAACGCCTCAACCGTAACTTCATGAAGAAATATGAAGCGGTGTGCAAATGATCTTACCTCATATTCAAAGTCCTCTGTTCTGTCTGCATCAGCAGGCAAGCTGGAGATATACTCATTGTCCTCATAAAATTCATGCTCCATCGGGTGAAGAGAATGGCAGCTATGGGGAATGTAGCAAGATGATAGGAATGGATCAAAAGGGTTGTTTTTGAGATTAAACTGATTTAGAATTTCACTTTCGTTTTCTCTGCTTTGCAATGATACCTTCACTGATCTAGCCTTTAAATGAACTACAGCTCAGGATAACCCATTGCTTTTCTTTCTCCTCCTACATGAAGTCCATCAATTTGATTTTCTGAAAGAATTCTGAGATAAGAGCCCCTGGTCAGAGTTGTATTCCCTGAAGGCTGATGTGAGCTCTGTGACAGGCCATGGGGCTTTATTACCACTCTCTGGCCCTGCTACCATTCCACCAAATGGGACTCACTCCACACATGGGTGTGAGGCATTTGTGATAGCAGTGTACCCCAAAAGGAGTATTTTTGTAACAAAATGCTATTTCATAATATAGAGCCCAAAACTGTTTTTTGACTTCTGTTTTCAAAGCATACATTTTTCATAACACTATTCCTTAAGACCGCCTTCCTCATTCTCTCTCATAACCCACATTTTCTTCTCTTCGAAAAAGGGCACATATACAAATATTCATGACATTCACGATGATACCTCATTAAAAAGCCTTGTATATAGGGTACATATAAGCCATAGGGTACAATAATCCCTGTGGAAAATTCCTGGGGACAGACAGAGCTGATTAAGTAAAGGAAATGAGAGGGATCCAAGACATTGTCCATGACTTTTATATATCCCTTAACTTTTGAATAGTTTTAAAGAATTGATAGAAGTGCTTTCCAGTTATATGCTATGATAGAGAATATATATTACACCATATAAAGGCTAAGCAAAGTTCAACAGCAAAGGCATGAGGTCATCTCTATTTGTAAATCTTTTTAAAAAAAAACATATTTTTATTGATTTCAGAGAGGAAGGGAGAGAGAAATAGAAAGATCAATGATGAGAGAGAATCATTGATTAGTTGCCTCCTGTATACCCACTACTGGGAAATCGAGCCTGCAACCCAGGCATGTGCCCTTGAAGGGAACCGAACCCAGGACCCTTCAGTCTGCAGCTGATGCTCTATCCACTGAGCAACACTGGCTAGGGCGATCATCTCTATTTCTAAAAGTCACTGAACAAGTCTACTTGCAATAAATCAGGTTCACTGCAAGAGAGACCTCTAAGTCCTGGCAGTGTGGGCGTTCTTGAAATATTGGAATTAGTAGTATAAATTAATTCTCTCATCATTAGTTGACAGGAGAGACAGGACCATCTTAGTATCTTCACACAATGTAAAAATTCCACCAGCTTCTTCTCACTATTGTCAGCTCCATAGAGTGTTAAGGAACATGGACCCAAATAATAAAACACCCTTGCCTGCGGGTCTAACAGGTAAAGCCTCCTTGTTTAATCTGGACTGGCTCTGTGAAGCCTATTTGGACTGGTAAAAAGTCAAACTTGTTATCTGGGGCATCAGATGTGTTGTCTTTTGTCCTTTGGTTAGTAAGAAGGGCACCCTGCCAGGAGGAACACCTTTTTCATTCAATAAACATTTACTGCATGTCTATCAGATGCCAGGCCCTATGCCAACTGCTGGGAATAGGTTGGTGCGCAACATCCAATTCTTGCCTTATGAACTGGGTAAAGCAGCAAAGTGGGAATTTTAGTGGTGTGATAATTAAGGGGGAAATACAGAAGCCTTGAGAACACATGATGGGGATGGACCTACTTCAGCCCCGGGAAGTTTGCTAGAAGAGTTGCCTCTAAGATAAGGTCTGTGGCACTTAGGAAGAGCAGCACTGGTTAAAGAAGCCATCAGACCTCTTTGGCTCAGAAGCCTGGCCCTGTCATTTCTTTGTGACCTTGGCCAACTCAACATCTGTGACATGGATATGACAATAATATAATACACACCTTCCAAAGGTTTGTGAGGACTAAATGAGTTAATCAAGGTAAAACACTTGGAACATTACCTACAATATGTTAGGAAAGCTGATAAATGTAAGCTATTATTATTCATTCAAGGAAGTATTGATTGAATGGCTATTCTAATATCAGGCTATGCTAATGAGTATTAAATATTGGTGTGCTTGGTTGTTGTTTATCTTACCCTCTAGACTGTGAGCTCCAGGAGACAGTGACTTTATTTTTGTTCCCAGTTTCATGGCCAGCACCAAGTCCTACTGATTGACCTAAGTGGCTATTTAATAAGTAATGGGTGAATTAATAAATTCCTAAGCAAGACAAATAGAGCCTCTATTCTCCTGGAATTGGAGGTTTCAAAGAGTAGTTTCCAAAATACAGCTTCCCATCACAATGCCCTTGGATGGTTTTTGAAGGAATCCAATGCTTGGGCCTCATTCTACAAACTTCTTATTAACTGGCCTGAGGTGGGACTTGGGCAATAAATTGGTATTTCTTTTCCATGCTCCCTGGTGATTCTAATGCACACACATGACCCACTGAAACAGACTCACCAAAGCCACTAAAGGGTGGGGAGGTGGCCTGACTAGATCTGTGTTTTACCAAGTGGAGAAAAGACCCGTAGGCAATGAAAATGCAGTCTAAAGAGACTATTGCTCTTATAAACCAAAATCTCAATAACGTTTGGCTATTTGCTTAAACGGTCATAAAGCAAAATGTATGGGGCAGAACATACTTCTAAGACTATACAACAAGTAGGATTGTTTGAATAAAATACCTCTGCCTTTATATTAGGTAAAAATTGGGAAGAAAAATTCCTTCAATAGTTCTTTATTTCGTAGTTTGATACTTTTCCTCTGACAGCCAAAACCTTTTGTTTACATCTCAATATATTGAGTAATTGCTTTCTTTGGAGAATTACACTTTAATTAAATTAATTTCTTAGCTTCTCCTTTAAATAAGAGAAAAGCAAAAGCGAGAACAAGAGGCGACCCACAGTGGAAGACACAGTGCCAACATGACACTTCTGTGTCAGTCCTAATAAGGTTCTTGGCAGCTTTGGTGAGAAAAGCTATTTCCCTGACCAGTGCTCATGAGGAGCACAAGGTGTTTGATGACTGGAATTACAAAGATGAGCTAATCAGAGCCCAGATTTTTCACTGTACCTCCACCAGTCTGATTCCTTAGGAGACGCAACAGTGTGGGCCAGGGGAAGTAGCTAGCAGGGACAGCTGACAACTAATTGGATGTAGACACAGTGGAGACATTTTCCAAAACAGCACTGAGCACCTGTCTCAATAATTGTCAACTGGCTAGCCTGACTGACTCTTGCCAACACGTCCTCGCAATGATGAATGAAAAGAAACAGGGCTTTGGGAGAAGTGACAGCAAAATACCTGTCTGAGAGCAGGAAGGGACAGATGTCTGGCACCGGAGGGGTAGGTGGCCTGAGCTTAGCCAGGGCCATGATGTGCTCAAAGGTAATGTCCGTCTGAGTGCTGGCATTCATGAGCTGCACTTCGGGAGCCGCTCCATAGATTGGCTTACTGAGAGGAGTGCGCCTTAGCACCTGGACCACAATGGGTTCCTTGGCATTTCGGAAAGCTTCCACTGCCTCTTCATGGGTGGCCTTGGAGAGATCCTTCCCATTGACCTGTGAAGATAAAGGGACATTGCTCACCTCAGAGGAGAGAACAGAAAGGCTGCTGTGACAGATTAATAAAAGGCAGGGAGGGGATGTTTGAGCCAGCTCTGCTATGCATTTTGTAAAGGAATATTTAATGAGGCTGACATTTTTATTGAACGCTTCACCAACTGGGGAAAGGGGAGGAGATAAGGAAAACAATTACTTCCGGTGTCTTCAGGAAGTATGCCATTAGAAAATGTTCACGAACACCTTCAGATAGGTAAGAATGCATATACTTTCTTATGATTTAGCAATCTTTTGGTGGGATTTTTAAAAAGGCATTTTATTGATTTTGTTAATAGAGAAAGGAAGGGAGAAGGAGAGAGAGAAATAGAGAAAGAGAGAGAGAGAGAGAGAGAAAGAGAGAGAGAGAGAAAGAGAGAGAGAGAGAAACATTGACATGAGAGTTGAACATCAATTGGCTGCCTCCTGCATATCTTCTACCAGGGATTGAGCCCACAACCCAGCCTTGTGCCATAACTGGGAATTGAACCAGCAACCCTTCAGTACACAGGAAAATGCCAAACCAACTGAATGACACTGGACAGGGCTCTTGGTGAGATTTTCAACATTTACTCAAAGTCTTCCAGGCCTAAAATTTATTTTTTTAGGATACCGTCAGATTTCTTTCATATTCATCATCTTTTTATCCAAGACCATGCTTTACCCAAGATCATGTGCATTTTATCATAAATCCTTTCTAGTCAAAGTGTGTTCTGTGGACCAGCAGAAATAGTATCACTTAAGGGATTATTAGAAATGCCAAGAAGCTGGCATTACCCAGACCTCCTGGATCAGAACTGACATTTTTAAAAGGATCCCAGATTATTTATGAGATGCATATGAAAGGAACACTGCTCTGAAACACCTCTGAGTGAGAATACTGTGTCCCTTTGGAGGTATCCTTATCTGTTTTAATGTATATTAATTATGATATTCCAAGGTAGCCCTGAACACAGCAGAGAAAGAGGTGACATTTGCCATTGCCTCCAAAACTGCTTCTCGGTAGGGCTAATAATTGGTATTTAGGAGAGAAATATTATTTTTTGTAAGACTCTGTCTTGTCTGCTTATTGAGGACAACAATGTTCCAGCTTCTGTGGCACCCCAAACACCACACGCTTTTCTGAGCACCCTCTTGAGGGTCAGTATAAGCCACTCTCAAATAGTTGTCAATTTATTTCCCTGAAATGGGTCCTGATAACACAGTCTCTTAATGGGAGTTGTGTCTTAATAAAGGACTATGGAATCTTGAAGTAGCTTCCCAACTCCTACCCCAAATAATGTAATGCTGGCTTTTGCATACAGGAAAAGACAGTTGGGAACACAATACTGTATTTACAACCCCTGAAATTATACCATTTCTAGACAACTAAGACAGTGAGGCTCTGTTGACAGCTATGCACCATGAAATCCTTAAAGATCCCTGAAAGGAAGCAAAGTGAATCACTGGGTTGCAATCGTAGAGCAATTATGACATTTAAATGAGCACATTCTCTTTCCCTGAGTAGACAAAGAATATGTGTGTGCTCAGAGCAAGTGTGAGAGATTTTGGGGTAAAAGATACAATACCAGGTAGAAATTGTCATGTCCTATAGAGATAGGCTTAATGACCTAGAGGAGCTAATTTATTCAATGGGCCCTGAAAGAATTAATGTGCCATCAAAAATGGAGCAATTGAGTTTCCTCACCAGCAAAATATGTCCCAGTACAATTCTTGGATCACTAGTAAGACATTTCAGATGAAGATCTGAGTGGGTGCCAACTAGCGTGTACAAACTCACCAATCTGCACAGTCCCTCTCTGATTCTTTTCTCCATGGACTACATTCTAAAATAATCACCAGCCAAAACTGGTTTGGCTCAGTGGATAGAGCATCAGTCTACGGACTGAAAGGTCCCAGGTTTGATTCTGATCAAGGGCATGTACATTGGTTGTGGGCACATCCCCGGTGGGGGATGTGCAGGAGGCAGCTGGTCAATGTTTCTCTCTCATCCATGTTTCTAGCTCTCTATCCCTCTCTCTTCCTCTCTGTAAAAAAATCAATAAAATATATGAAAAAAAAGAAAAAGAAAAAATAATCACCAAGTTTTTATTGGCACAGCCTTGATGGCACATTATATGTCTTGATGACTCTAGGTATACACGAGTATGTAGACAAAGGATGCCCAGAGACACACTCATCTATTCCTTGAGCTATTGTCAATGACAAGGCACTCTGGGCTGAGGCTACCACTGACTTCCCTAAGGACATGTTGTCAGCAGATAAGAGAACTTCCAGGTGAAAAAGCAGGACCTAAAAGCTAGCCTCTCATGGTTAGTGTTGTCATCCTCCATATTTTATATTAGGATCAGTATTTATAAATTCCAGGGTTATAGAAACTGATCCAGGGGCAGCTAAGACTGCTCTGTCAGCCCGGAAGAATTGCCTTTTGGTCCATAGGCTTCCCACTTCCTTGTATCTCTTCTATTTAGTGAATATCTGCGCTAGCAAAGTATCATACCCTTCCCTCTCTAAAGAGAACTCTTAGTCACTTTATCAACTGTTTAAAACCTATTAAAACTATGCCAATAAGTTACCTTCTCTTATAAGCTTTGCTAACAGTAGCAGAATGGAAGACAATGCTCTTTTAAAAATAACTTCAAGCAATATGTTAGGGTAAAGGCAGAAATAACTTGTGGCCAGGGTTTCTTCCAGTCCATAGATGAAATCCCACTATTGCATACATTGTGTGCCATTAAGTAGTGAACAGACAAAATACCCTTATTCCATTTCTTCTTCTTTTTAAAAAATATATTTTATTTATTTTTTACAGAGAGGAAGGGAGAGGAATAGAGATGAGAGAGAAACATCCATTCGCTGCCTCCTGCACACCCTTTACTGAGGATGTTCCCGCAACCAAGGTACATGCCCTTGACTGGAATCGAACCTGGAACCCTTGAGTCTGCAGGCTGATGCTCTATCTACTGAGCCAAACTGGTCAGGACCTATTTCTTCTTTAAGGTGGCCAGGTACCTTGCTTACATGTTAACCTAGTCTTGGTATTCTCTTATTTCTTATTTGTTTTAGTGATCTTCTAAGCAAAAATAATTTCTAAAAGATGAGTTTCTTACTGATAATGATTATTTATTTTATGTTCCTAGTAGCTACTTAAGAGTCATTTTTGCAAAATCCAGAAATGTATAAAATTTCTGCAGAAACATAAAAATTACTGAAGAGTTATTTAGGCTGTGAGATCATTAGCTCTTATTGTAATGGTTCGTATATGCTGAACATATTAGCATCCATCCTGCAAGATCAATAGCTATTGATCTTAAGACCTGTACATTCATTCATTTACAATCATGGCATTTATATACAATTTGGGGGAGGAAGGTTAGAGACAATCAAATGTAATCTTGAAAAGGGATAGTCAATGTAATCACTAGTATCTTACTTTTTCATTGGGGAATGCTCTTTACTTCCAGTTATTATGTAGCTGACCTCTATTTTCATAAGCTGTTTAATAACTTTCAAAGTAAAGAAGTCTATGACCTTTAAAAGCTCTACTGCCTCATGTGATTCCTTAGAAAATGTAAGCACTGATAATACAAAACACTCTTTTTTTCTTTTACTTCACTTCAGGTTCATCAACATACTGTTAGCCTACCAAAAGGTCACCATTTTATAAATTATGCCTTTCACAACAGAAAAAAGAATAGCTTAATTGGAGTTTTCTGGCAGTGGCTTTGCTCAGTTATCATTAGTTAAAGCTAGGGAGAAGAATGACATTGAGAGAATATCTAAAATTTTAATGTTATAGACACATTTTGTAGCAAGTTAACAAATAAGATAATAGCAAAAGTTAATTTTTTTTCCAAAATGGTGAGATCATAAATCAACAAGGTATTTGATATTTCATGGTGCCATATATTTCTTTTCCATCATATCCTCTGGCTCTCTCCTTCCTTTGCTTCCTCCCTCTCTCTTTTCTTCCGCTTTACTCTCTTCGTCTCAGTCTTAATTATGGTTTTGTATTGGCCACATATAATTTTTATGCATTTTGTGAAATGAGACTGGCGATAGAAAAGCCCTCTATTAAAAGTGTGCCATTTAGTTCAGGTAATTCAGGGTGTAGGCCCAAACTTGTCAAGGTGCCCAGTGAAAGGAGGGGAGCTCTTTTGCTAAAAGAGTCAACGGAAGTTGACTTCAGGAGGAAAAGCTGATGAAGAGGGTTGGGAGCAAAACTGGTGAGAGGAGATGAAAGGCTATTTGAAGATTAAAAAATAAATACCCATGTATTATAGGATTCGAGTTTGAAGTTTATGTGCATAGAGGTTTCAAGAAGGTTGGGAATTTTTAAAAGATATTTTATTGATTTTTTAGAGAGAGAAAGAAATATCAATGAGAGAGAAGCCTCATTGATTAATTGCCTCCTACACATGCCCTGGGGATTGAGCCCACAACTTGGGCATGTGCCCTGACCGGGAATGGAACTGGTAACCTCCTTGTTCCTGGGCCAATGCTCAATTGCTAAAATGCAACCGCTGGGCTGGAAATTTATTTGAACATGGTCTAGAGAATGACACGTCTTCTAAAGTGGTTATTAAATGGAATGGGTGAGAGGATAGAGTCATAATAAACATGAGGAGTATATGAGATAATTCTCTCTATCACTATAACATCTGGAATTTGGATGACTGTGGCCAAAACTGATTTGGTTCTCCTGCTACCACACAACAAGAGCAAAACTGAAAAGACTCAAGTGATGGATATTTGATAAGAGGCCAGGGTCCCAAAGTGGAATGACTAGACTCTGAGATGGTGATTAAACCACCTACTTAGATAAGTAAGAAACCAGTCATGTTTATACATATAGAGGTAATGAAAATTGACAATAGCATAAATGAGGGAAGGAAGACACCAATGACAGGAATTCTAGAATAAACAGAGGCATGTGGTTCTCCTAAGAAAGTACAATTGAGATT